TGCTAAGTAATTTAAGCTACTGGGTATGTCAAAGCCTGTGCTGTTCCATCAAAAAAAAAAAAAAAAAAGACCCGTGCTCCCTTTTCCCTTCAGGCTGGAAGGGCCGTTTAGGCGACGGAAGCGGTAGAAGCTCGAGTCGGCGGTTTTGGAGTCGCGCTCATGCGGTGTGCACTCTACTCTATCGTGCTCTAGTTTGTTTTCTTGGGGGCCCGGTGTGTCTGTCGCGTATGTCAGAGGTGCATCTTGCAGGAGCGGTCAGAGCCTGTGCGTATCGCTGAGATGTACGGCGTGCGTGATGCATGCTGCAAGATGCAGTTTAGACTCCATCTGATAGATAACGACTGGACTTGACCGCACGCAAGTCAGTCAGGATCCATGCACTCTCTATGCACGCCCCGTCCACCCAAGAGATATGGATATGGGCGACAAGCGAGATGCCGAGAGCCCACTCTATGCACGGCCAGCATGGCAGACTGGGGGGAGAGGGGAAAAGGAAAAATTTTCTGTAAGTCGTGGGAAAGGAGGAAATTTCTGTTGATATTGTACTTTTTCTTTTCTTTTCTCTTTTTCCCGTGCTCTCTCACCTTGGTCCCCCCACCGGTGGTGATGCGCGCGGGTTTCCGTGCCCTAGTCATCCTCGGCTCTGGGAATGTCCCGGGCGGCGATGTTAAACAAGAAGCTTGGCAAGGGATCTACACGCCAGGCCTTACGGGTAATATTGGGAATCACGTACAAGCGTGTGTACTCAAACGGGCAAGCATGAGTAATACTGCGATAAGATTTGGAAATCAATCTTGTGCTGTGCTGCGTTGTAATTTCCACGTTATTTGCAATCCGGCGGTCAGGCCGCCTTGTGTCATGTCGTGACTCCAAAAGCAGGTTGTGTGAGCCTCGGCCGGTGTGACTGCGACTGACGTCAGAGAAGCTCTTTGGAATACTCGAGACTCGACCGGCTGTGGAGGGTGCCCGACGGCAGCTACGGAATAAGATTGCATGAGTACGTGCATTCGCTGACCAAGTGGATGGTAGCCGCGATATCGTGTACATGTAATTCCCTTTGGGTGGCAGCCCAGGAGCCAGATTCGGTATTTCGTGCTCCAGACATAGGGTAGCACGTGTACCCCCGTACTGTACCAAAGTACGACTCCTCGAGGCGTATCCTGATACACCACGCTGACTGGAGGCAATAGGTATGCCTGGATAATGCAGGCATGCTACGTAGCACGGGGGTCCGCCATGCCGGGATGCCAGATTAATGAATCTGACTGTGGAAAAAATCTGGGTGCCGAGGCGGCGGCATTCCAGCCCGATAAGCAGATAGATAATGTAATGGGGTCGGCGTGGCCATCGGACTGTACGGTTGCACTCATGTCCAGTAGGATCACGACAGCCTTGCGAACATGATGCGAGTATGTAAGCCGTCCCCCCGGAATCCCGAAAAATTGTAATAATAGAAAGGATGCTTGTCCAGGTAATAGAGGCCATGTCAGGCTCTGGCTCTCGGGGGGCGTGTCTGACTGGCGAAGCTCGCTCGGTGCTGTCATCGCACAGCCATGGCATGGGCATGGGCATGGCGAGATGGCCCCCATCCAGAAATAGCAGTGGCCGTTTTCGATGATTTCCCGGAACCACGGCCATGACTGACGACCAGTCTGCCTGGCCTGGCCTCACGACGATGAGGGGGAAATGGCGGTGCACGAGAAAACAACACCAAACGACTGGCCTGACTCGTGAGGGGAAACGGCCAGCTGGCGGCTCTCCCCTCGCAGCACGGTGAGCTGTCCAGGCGCCAGCGGCCAGAAGATACCCCCAAAGTTGTCGTGGACACGCATTACCGCAAACCCACTGCCTTAGTAGCAGGCAACACGTCCCCCAGCACTACCGGGGGGCCGGGGGAGACGATGGGAGGGTGCCGCCCAGGTAGCACCACAGTTGGTATTTGGAAGTGGAAGTGCCTTATCATGTATGGGTTCCCATTGCGATCAGAGGACCACGATCAGGCTGCGACACAGGTCCTGACCGCCTGGCCGGCCGCGCCCAATGGCATGGCGCAGACGCAGCTTGGTGGGCGGGCAGCCACAGCAAAGGGCGGCATGACTGGCGACAAACTGTCGAGCTGGCGACGTTAGCGACCTGCCGGTTGGAGGAGGCGGCAGGACTTGGACTCCGTATCGCCGTCATGGTACATGCGACGAACTGTGCCTCTGTGCTCAAGCTGCGTTTCGTTTACGAGCGAGAGACGAGGAAGCAAGCAGCAGTTGGGCTAACATGTGGCCGACGACGTATCGAAGGGGGAGTGTCGGCCCGCTTCGAGTCCACGTATCGTATCGTCCATATCGTACCAAGCACCGTCCACCCCCAGACAAGTGGCGCTGAGTGCGCTGTTCTGCTCTGGCTGCTCCCCCCTCAACTCGGGCCCAAGAGCCCTTGCGTGGCACTTTGCTCGCTCAGTCAGCATTCAGATTCAGGCTGTTTTGCCCAACCAGTGCCTGGTGCTCGAGCACGGGTTGTGCCGCCTCCGTTAGTTTATCGCGGCCACTCTTCCATTCTCCGCGCCGCCTGGGGGATGATGCCACCCATCCAGTATTACTCCGTAATGTTTATTGTGTGCTCACGATGATTCTTATTCTCCGTCGCGGCCCGTTTTCTATTTCATCTCACCTACCTTGCCTGGACGGTAATCATGGCATCCTCCTTCTGTAACGAGAGCCTGCCTGTCCGTTTTGGGTATGTGACCTCTTGCGTTTGCTTCTTACCGTTCGGTCTCCTCCTGTCATGGTTGCTTTTCGGCTGGTTGCTTGGCTAAGCGCTACTTTGGTACAAGTATTAAACATTTCAAATTTTTGTCTTGTTGCTAGATGGGATGGTTACGAGCTGCCGTTTGTCTGAGTCCACAAGCAGGAGGTAGAGGGATTAGTGCGACGATGCTAGGTACTGCGAGTCGTAGTAGTAGTATGACCAACATTAAATCTCAAATGTATCAACAAAGTGCCCATGTACAGTACAGTAGTGGCCGGCGGAAGTGCCATCCGCCGACGACGGCTCAAAACGAGATGTGCCCTTTTTCCGATCTATCAGATTGCTAGCATCCCTTCTCAAGGAGACGAGGGAGCAGGAAAAAAAGCAAGCTCGCGACCGACGAGAGACACCCAGCGATTGCTCGATTCCGATTCCCCCAGACCGAGACAAGGTGGCAGATCCAGCAAAACGGAATGCCGGGGAAGGCCATCCGTCGGGAAAACTGGCGCTGGCTTCGTTGTCGCAGACAGCTCCAGGGCCTCCCTGCTGGCTGACCGACCGGAAAGCTGGGGCGGTGTGCCCCGGTGCCCAACAGCGGGTTTTTTTTTGGCGACTAGGGAGGACACGAAGGCACTTTGCATGGGTGAAGGGTGAAGGGAGTACGAGTAGGTAATTGGGAAAGCTGGGGGGGGGGAGCGCCAGAGACATGGGGGGAAATTGGCGATACCAGCGCGGGAGGGCAATGAGATGCGCCGCCGTTGACACTGACAGGCCAAGATTTGATGCAACCTAGCACGACTACGAGTACCAGCGAGGGCGAGGGCGAGCGAGAGCCAGAGCACGCCCCGTCCGAGCGAGCACCGGCAGTGTGGACGGGGTTTCTTCTTTGCGAGGGGCCCCCTCGAGCTGCTTTTTGCGACTCGGACGGCGCTCGGTCCTCCTCCAACTGCTAGCAAGAGAACGAGCGCGGTGCTTCCCCGGACCGCCCAGAGACAAGCGTGTCATCTTGGGGTGAACGGTTGAATTGCTTGTTGCCGCCGCACCGGGTTGGGTTGGGATGGGATGGGCCAAGCCAGGTTCCGTGACTGTGATTGTGACTGTGACACTGACACTGACACTGACACCGACGCTGATTTTTTTGGCTGGCTGAGGATGGATGCGCGATGAGGAAGAGGATACGGATGGGATGCAAGAGGATACGGATGGGATGCAAGAGGATACGGGAATTCCTCCGCGCTGATACCTGGATGACACAGAGCGTGCGGCGCTGATACACAAACATCACGATACGATACGGCCAGCACAGCGCAGCGCAGCGCACGCAACAGCTACAGCTACAGCTCGCCGCTTGTCGCAACGCAAGGGTCCAATCAGACCGCTGGGCGTGGCGGTCAAAAACCGAGTTGCGGAACACCGCCATTTGCGTGTCACCTCTGCCTCTGTGCGTTGTGTGCGACGGTCTGTCCCTCTCCGTTAGTAGGGCTGGCGGTTTTTGCTGTGCTGTGTCCGTGTCCATCCATGCTCATGCTCCATGTCTTCCAGCCCAGCGGCGTGGCGTGGGGGGGTGCGAAATCCCCCCCAAGCTTCAACTGAATGAATGTTGCACCCAGTCCAAGTCCCAGGCAGGGGAGGGGGGTGGGCGGAACCGGCTTGCTGCAACCTCTTTGCTTTTTTATTTTTTGATAACCCCCAGCCCGGCAAAGCAATGACAATGGCTCCCTTGCACCAAAACACGCCCCCCCCTTCAAACGGCGCCCCCCATCCCAGTCCCCCATTCCCCCCTTCTGCCCCAGCGCCGAGCGGCTCTCCCAGATGATTCACACATGTGCCGCCCACGATGAGTCGATATAAGTGCCTCTGCTCCCTCCAGGCTCCAGAGCTTCGGTCTGCATAGTCCGCCATCACAAACATCACTTGTTTGCCAACATATACAAACACTTGCATCCTCTACTCTTCATCCTCTCTACTCTACTCTACTCTACTCTTCTGCTCAGCAGTCAGCAAACAAACAATCCTCCATCCATCCATTCATCCAACGGCTCTGACGGAAAATCCTCGTTGCATCCACACCACCCCACGGTTACGCCCGAAAGCACACACACACACACTACACACAATAGCAATCAACAGAAGCCGAGCAAACTCCACCAAGCCGTTCTTATCAATACATATAACCCATCTCAACCCCAGATTTCTGGAACAATACTCCATCTCACCCATCTCTCTCACACACACATCACACACAACCAAACACATTCACAATGTTCGGTTCATACAGCTCATACAGCTCCGTGAGCACCATGTCTACCGCCATCGATATCAGCCCCTCCAACCTTCGAACTCGCGATGCCTCGTGCGCCTTTCCCTCCTGGCCCAGGCGAGAGTCTCTCTCCGAGTTCGACCGCGAGGAGCGAGCCACTTCTTTCCTCTCCGACGACGACCTCCTCCTGTCGGACCCCTTCGACAGCGACAGCCACAGCATCGCCAGCTCCAGCGCCTCGTCCTCTCCCATCATGATGATGCAGTCTCCTCCCCGCCTGACTGACGCCGAGGTCCTGGAGATGCAGCGAGAGAAGCTTGCTCTGCAGCGCGAGTGCATGCGCCAGATCATGCTCGAGAAGGAGCGCCGCAAGCAGGCCTCCAAGAAGAAGAGCCGCTCTGCTTCCGCCAAGAAGAGCCCCAAGTCCAAGCTTGCCTCCATGACTCCCATTTCCGAGTAAAAACGAAAACATCTACCGTTTACTCTGCGGGGTCATGCGCTGGCGCAACAAAGGCTCTTTTCTTCCTTCTCACTACTTTCGGCTTTCTACGAAAAGCCTCTAATAGACAACACGACGATTACGACTTTTCTTCTTCATTCTACTCTTACTCTTACTACTACGACTCAGACCCGGCTGCGGTCTAAGCACAGCCACCCACACCAAGTGCGCTATCAATAGGAATTGATTTGCGGCGCTTTCATGGGGAAAATCGGGATGCCGACGGGAGAGCCACGGTCCGACCTGGATCTGACTCATCCTCCCGCCCACCACCGAGGCAATTCCCTCTACTTCTACCTGATACTACCGCGGCCAGATCGGCTAAACTGGGTCAGCCCCAACACGGCTTCTTCCATTTCTCTTCACAAGCCATTGCATTGCATTGCAACTTGGACCTTCACTTGATACCCGGATCATTTTCATATCCAGCCCCCCTCTTGTTTTAGGGGATCGTCGCAACGACAACCTTGTTTCCTTTCTCGTTTTTACCACTACTTAATTCTTACGACGGCATTATCGGAGTTCATTTGTTTTCTTCTTCGGGCTTTTTTGGGTTTTAGCGAACAATCATAGCGGGCATTGGCCAATGGGAATTTCAGGATACCCTCTTCCACAAGGATGAGCGACGGGACATTGGGACACATTACTTTAGATACATACTTTGGCGTTGGGAAAGCCGTCCGCTACGATCGGACTTGGCACACATTGGGAAACATTTCTAGCATAGCAACTGTTTAGATAGCTTCGTTCTTACAAGATACCCCCTTATTACCAATACTAGTTTCTTGTCCACACACAATACCTCTTCTCCGCCTTTGCCATTCATTGTATTGCCATGTGTTCTAGCCGTCATTAAGTGAGCGCCACGGCGTAGCAGAAACGCCCATTTTCCGATTGACCGCATCAAGATGCCCTTTCGGGGACGGTCGGCAATGGGAGAGCTTGCTGCCACCGGCTCTCCCATCCCAGCCCAGCCCAGCCCAGCCCAGCCCAGCCGCACCGTTCCATTCAGCTCTGGGGCTGGCACACTAACTATTACGAGCACCATCCATTACTCACTAGCAATCCATCCCTCAGCGCCGCTCTTTTCGCGCATAAAACGGTGCGCTGGACAAGAGAAAAAGTCGGTGACGGTCTGCCACGCACGCACAAGACACACAAGGCGCCGCCACAGAGCATGGTGAGGCTTGCGGGCGGATCACACTGGGGGTGTGGTTTTTTCTTTGCTCTTTGCTCTTTGCTCACCGACCCAATGCAGTGCGACTCGGTGGCGCCGGGGCTTTCGCATTTACGTGCCCTATTCGCTGCGCGTTTGTTGTTATTGTCACATGGGAGAGGAGGGGAGGGGGGTGTGTGTGATTGTGATTTGAGGGCTTGTTTGAAGCACGAGTTCGCGAATAGAAAAAGTATAATGAGACAACAAGAAGGAACAAGACTTGGGGCGCGCGGGCGTGACTGGGGGAAGGGTTTGGATTGGGTGCGCGCGCGTGAATCATGACTTGGGAATTAACTTGTTTTTTTTTCTTTTTACTTGGGTGCGGAGTAGGTGCAGTGGTATAATTGATAGTTGGATTTTGTCGCAGAGGGCGAAATGTAACGAGCGGTGGTGGTTGGATCGCTACGAGGTATGCTTTTTGGACGGGCTGAGAAAACGGCAAACTAGTGGTTGATGGGTTTTCACTATAACTGTAATCTACGTGTATGCAGGGCGTCAGTGTCTCGAACCTCAGTTTTCACATCCATCTCATTAATTTTGCTTTTTATTTTGCTTTTTGCTTGTTGGGATGTTTATGATGTGGCAGAAAAAAAAATAGATTAACTGCCCAACATCCATTCCTTTTGCTTTACGTTTCCCCCCCTTGATAAGTCTATTTCATGTAGGGCGGCCAGTAAATGAAAACAAAAAAAAAAAAAGTGATAACAACCACCAAACGTGCAGATGGGTTGCATGTCTAATGTACGATGTACATGTAGGCACGATTTCGCGATCGATCGGAGGGGGGGCCTCGGACATGAATGGCCGGCACGGCAAATTGCGTGCGGCTGCACTCTTTGCTGTGATTTGACGTGGCCATGTAGGTATTCCGCTGTGTGTGCTCCTTGTTCTCCCTCTGCTTTATCTTTTCATCTTTTTTCTTTCCCTTGCATGCAGCGGCCCATTCAATCCTTGTCGGCATGTTCACCGAGTGCATGAGCCAAGCTGGCATACATATGTGCGTTACAGCTGATAATGTCGGTGTACGAACATACATACATGCAAACCCGGCGCGCCAGCTGGGAACGGGAACGGGAACTTGCGCGACCATAAGCTACTAGAGGTAGGTAGCTGGCTTATCATCTTGCCTCTCTGTCTCTCTTGTCTCTCATTGCTGCGCTCTTTATTTCTCCGTTGAGACAGGTTTGGGGGGAGTGATAAGCTGGGCTGGGTCGATCATAGTCAGGCTTACTCATTCGTTTATTTGTGTGTGTGTTGCAACCAACTTTACGGATATTACGCGCGATAAAACACGGGCTTCGGGGATGTGCCACACCGGTGATTTTGGGTGCTGGTGAGCTTGCATGATCCTCCTGCTTGGAGGGTGTGTCTGGGCTGCATATGCAGGGTTGGCGAGAATCCTGTGCTCTCGTTTTTGCATTTTTTTCTCTCTTTTCTTTCTTTTTCGTGGGTTCGGATTGGAGAGGGGGTGTCGTTACTTTTGCAATAATACACTTTTCTTTTTCTTTTTTCCCTTCCGGATCTTCTCCCCGGCTGTTCAAGTTCCTCTTGCTTTTTTCACTTACCAGCCCGTGTCTTGGTCGCCTTCCAAGCAAGGTTACGGTACGGGCCTCGCTGTGGGCCAAGATAATCCGTACGGGAGAAGCGCCGGCTGACCCCGACATGGCGTTTCCTTTCTTCTCGTTTCCGTCTCGTCTCGTCTCGTCTCGTCTTTGATAGCAACGTTGTACTTCTCCATCGGGGAGGGAATCTTTGCTAGTCTACCCTCCTCTTCTCTCTTTCTTAGCTGAGCCACCTTCGCCCTCGGGAAAATCCTCTGTCCACACAGTCACAACACGTGAATATTAAAAAGGTCCCATCCGTCAGCAATTCTTCCTGAGCGCTTTCGCCCCCTCCTCTTTCGCCCCGCCCTATCACAGCCCGATCCTCTTGGCTTAGAAGGGAGTGTCAAAGAAGGGAACTTGCTGGGGTTTGCGGTGGATTTGGCCAATGAGTCTGTCGAGACGCCGTACTGCCACCTTATTCGTCGCGGACATGTCGTCCAATTGCATGCATGCTGCACTCCCATTGGCCATAAATACTGGACCACGTGAACGCCGATTCACTGCCTTTCTGGCGTATCGTTTGCGTTGTAGAGCATCTTTTCTTTTTTTAAACCACGCAAAGTCAGAAACGCCCATTGCCAATACAATCGCTCATTGCTCGTTGCGGCGTCGTAATCCGTGACGCGGAATGGATTCGAAATGGCCGCGTTAAGCGAAAGGGAAAGGGACAAAGCCAGCTTTCCCCATATCATCTGATTGCTTGAGGCGCCTTTCAAATCTCCAGTTCTAATTATACGCCCTTGTGTGATGCGCGTGTGAATGGGATGTGATTGGGAACTGGGCGGGCGGCAACCATTTCCCTCCTCAACAGGAAGGCCATGCCCTTTCTCTCTCTCCCCCCCCCC